TCTCTTACTGACACTTTGATTAGGCGCCTGTAATCAACACAAAGCCTGCTGTGCCGTCCTTCTTTGAAACAAAGACCACCGGCGAAGGACATGGGCTTTTTGACTCATATACTGTGCCAGTGTTGGTCATTATTGTGGGCGCCGCATTAAGAAGTTACGGGTTTCGCATTGCACCTCGGGAAGGGGGGGGGGGGGGGGGTGCATTCTTGGCTTCGTTTCGGTGCCTTAGAAGATTGGTTTTTTCAGGTCTTTCTGTGAACATTGGCGAGAAGGATTCCAGCAGGTGCTAAAGCTGCTGCTTCTTGGTGCTGCTATCGGGACACTTTTCCACCACCTCACTAACACTGCCTGCAGGAGCAAAAATTCCAGTGGCGCAAATTTCAACGGAATCACGTCCCCAGGAATGAAGTCCTATTGTCTGGTCAATGGCGTTAGCACAGTGTCTTTGCTGAACCGATAGGTAGTTCCAAAAAAGTCTAATGTAATGCCCTCCGCTATGACGAAATCTTGACCGAGGATCATGGGAACTGATAATCCAGGCAAATACACAAATCGTTGCCTTCGTTTCTTGCTGCGGAAAACAATTCGTAGTCTCACAGCGCCCGCAGCAAGTAGAACAGATCACGACGCTAGCTGTAAGTTCACACCTGCTGTTCGGAACGTAATATTTTTCCTTTTGCAAACCTCGAATAACGCATCTCCATTAAGTGATATGTTTGCACCGGTATCTAGGGGATCAGTTGTACGTATTGCGGGGACGGGTTTTACCGGTTTTCCTGGCTCGGGTCTTGTTGCAGTAGCGGGCCACTGGCAAAGGCCTATGGGCGATCTGCCATCCACGGCAGCCATCTCCAGCATAACCGTCTTACATTCGAATCAGTTTCTCCGCTTTACAGGGACATACGAAAATGCTGAGTTGTGTGAAATAGGTCAGCGCTTGTGTCGTTCGCACCTTCCTTTCGTCCTTGTGTATTTCTTGCGCGCTGTTTATTTCCGTTACCATGAACCAACTCGCCTACATCACGACCCTAAAGACAGACTCGTTTTACGGATTTTTGTGTTAAAGTGGCGATGCAATGGTTCTTGTATTTTGCGCAAATACCGCTCACAAGAAATCCCTGACGCTAATTACCTGCGAAACACCCGTTCATTTTCGACCATACACAGTCGAGATCGCCGAAAAAAATTAAAGAAAAACGAGCAGCGTTCACCCCCTCCACTCGCAGTCAGAACAAGCGGCCACGTGATATGGGGATGATTATAAGCCGTCAATGGTGATCACAGCCACGCGCTGGGGTTAGGCAAGGCACAGGACACACGCTGAGTTCTAGAAATTGTTTTGGTTCGGCTATTGTCGTCATTAAAGCGATTGGACACGGGCCACTCCCCGAATGCTTCTCAAGCTACCGATTATCACGTGCCCAAATCGAGTGTCCACGCAATGCTCGGCTTGAATCTATGAGCCGCATTCAAATATTATCTCTGGGCGGTAGAGCGACCGCCCAACGACGTTATCAAGTTTTACGAACCTGGTATTGAATGAAAACGCTCACTTTCGTTCTTGAAATTACACACAACATATGAGTTTCGTGGTCAGTTGCGTTGCGTGCGAGTGTCCATGAGTCCCACTTGTGTTAGTAAGCTCATGTAAAGTAAAAAAAAAATTCCAACTGAATATCTTTGCACCGCCCCTTTACGGGCAACTCAATATTCATTCACGGGTAGCACTAACACTTTGGCCTATTTCAATTGTAGGACGAAGAAAAACATGCTCATTTAATATATTGTCCCGGGCATCACTCCAGAGCCTTGGCGAGCTTTGAAAATCAAGGAATCCTATTAAAAGCTGTAGTGCGTTTATAGTTTTTATGGCTTTAAAGATCTGTAAAAAAAAAAAAAATACACACACACACACACACACCTCGAGCGCTGCGAGCGCTCGAGCGCTCGAGCGCTTCATCTTTGCGGGTGTGTATTACAGCAAGCGAGACATAATATTGCGGGATAGTCGTCCGAATTACTGGGCTAATTAGTGAAAGTGTATTCATGAGCTCTTTAGTTATTGAAGATAAAGATTTGGTGCTCAATGACGCTCAACGAAAATGTGTTAAGAAATATTAGTGAATCATTTGGCTTATCGTGATAATTAGCAGTTATATTATGTCCCCCTAGCCGCAACACTCATCTGCAGTGAACGCCTCATAGTAGATTTGATAGTTTTGTTCAAAACTAATAGGTAAAGCAAAACAGCACAAAAAAAACGTAAATTTAATTTAGAATAAGAAATAGGATTGAAGGGAACAACGCGCAGATAAAAAGGGCCCTTGGTTTTCGCTGCCCCGGAGTGTAAAGGACAGTACTACTCCTAGCCTAACGCTTAAGAATAATGATCCCACCTTTAGAAATCAGGGTTATTGCGGAGGCGAGCTAGCGAGGGAAGCTTGCATGATATACACGACGGTGTCCTGATAGTAAATTATTTTTATGTGGACTGCCAACATTACTCCCTGAAACGTCCAATCACAATCACTGATCGGCCGCACGTGCGTTGCCTGTTGAATGTTTTATTCGGATTTCGACTTGAATGTAGAAAATCAGTTCACTCACTAGAAAGAACGCTTAAGAATGCAGAGGGGGGGCGCGAGACACATAATTTATGTAGCAAGTGGAATAGCAGCATGCATGACCAAGTAAATCCCGGTCACCGCAACAAAAGCGTACAGCGTTGTTTTTCAAACCAGTTATTTCTGGTATGAACAAAATAGTATTCCTCGTTTTGTGCTGATTCCAGTCATTGTGTCACTGGTTGATGTAACTTAATTCTTTTTTGCCTTGGATAAGGCGATTGAGTTTTTACGTAATTCACGTGGCGTAATTTCTTTCATCTATAGTTTTTTTTTGTTACTCAGTGTTTGCTGATTGGACTGAGATAAATTTCTCGCTCTAGCATCTCGCGTATAAAAGCTACAGCTATTCGCTACAAGATCACAGTTGGACTAATCTTCTGTAGACCTACAACATGGCTGGAGTAAGTGCACTGTGTTGGAGATACCGGATGAGGCAGCTTGATTACCTTCTTTGCTTTAACTGATTTTAACAATCTATATTTATTTTCATCATAACCCCAGACGCATCCAACGGAACGAGCTGATGATACTAACCACTTAGAGTCAAAAGCACAAACTCAAGGTGTTCGTCGTGTTTTTCTACATGTTGCATCACCGCTGAATCAAGCGTAAACAGACAAGTCCCAGTGATTTGCACTTTTAACGGTGCTTGATTGGTCAATTTAGCTCGTAGCGTCGGCAGCGTCTGGACTTAAGCTGATACGAAGCATAGGCATAGACCATTCAGACTCTGGTAATGATGTGCATGGCTGCGGATTGAAAAAAAGAAATTTGAAATTTGATGTCAGTTTTATTGGTTCTTGTGTCAAGACTGTGCCACACTGGGCTTTAATTATCATTGGCAGTTCAGCGGTACTTATTCTAATGCTGATATTACTTAGAATAAGCGGCATTTCAATTGCTCAAAATGACAATACATTTGCAGGCGGATGTCGTTCGTCACCGTTTGTTCTGTAGGAAAAGGTTGATTTGTCATTTAAAAAAAAAACTACTTTTTAAATATTTTGCTTTGGCTGCTTTATTCTAAAGCTAATGCAAACACGCGAGGCGAGCATAAGGTTACCAATATAACAATATTAACTTTAAATTGCACTATACAGTACCGATGAACATCTAATTGTATGGAGTAGATTCGCACTAAAGATGAATAACGATGCCCATTCAAATTCAGAGCGTCATGTATCATCAAAATATCCTGAAAACTCATATGCAAGATTGTGGTATCTCAAGTAGCATGGTGCAAGATATACATGAGGTATGCTTGCAATCCATAAAGCTTGTACGGCATCTATGTATATATGATGTTCTTTTAATCGAATTCTTTTAATCGAGGGAGTAGTTTTACTAGCCGACATGGCCTGCAAGATGTCACTTTACCACATACGGAGATCTTCGCTATTCATTTTTATTAGGCGTCCACTCTAATATCCGGGCTTACCAATAGTTTCATTATAAGTAACGTCCTTCTTAGAAACAGTTGGCTTCTTTACGCAGACCAATGATATTTTTGTCTGAACTTTTCTTAATGAGGGAACCAGGGGGGTTTTAGTATATCGGGATTGAACAGATTCGAGTAAGTGAAATCCGAATACTGATGCTTTGAAAATACTTAATCATTGATATATGGTTATAAATACATAGTTCACATTATTTTACACAGTGCTATTTCCCCATTAGAAAAAGGAGAATATTTTTTTTAATTGAATGTCTGACCCATATTTTATGCAGTTCCGTGCTTGTCTTTTCCTGGCCCTGACCAGCAGCGCCATTGCTGGTTACGTCCAGGGGGGTCTTGGCTACGGCCATGGCCTTGGCTACGGCAGCCTCGGCTACTCCGGCCTTGGTTACTCCGGACTCGGCTACGCCAGTCTCGGCTACGGCCATAGTCTCGGCTACGGCCATCGTCTCGGCTACGGCCACGCTGTTGGCCTTAGCAATGGTTTCGGGTACTCAGGTCTGACTGGCTACAGCGTTGCTGCACCAGCCGTCAGCCGCACTGTGGCCACTTCATACCAGGCCGCTCCTGCCGCTGCCGCATACGCCGCTGCTCCAGCTGTCTCTGCCTACCACGCTGCTCCAGTAGCCACCTACTCCGCTGCCCCCGCTGTCACCAAGGTCGCTACCTACCAGACCTCTCATGCCGCGGCTAATTATGCCGCTGCTCCATTTGCCACCTACGCCGCTTCTCCAGCCGTTACAAGGGTTTCCACCGTTCACGCTGCTCCAGCTGTCGCTACCTACGCCACTACTCCAGCTGTCGCCACCTACGCCACCGCCCCAGCTGTTACCAGGGTCGCTACCTACCAGACTAGTCCAGCCATCGCTACCTATGCAGCTGCTCCAGCCGTGACCAGGGTGTCAACAGTCCACGCCGCACCAGCTCTCGCCAGCTACCAGACCTACCGCGCTGCCCCAGCTGTTGCCACCGTTGCCCATGCTCCGGCTGTTGCTAGCTACCAGACCTACCACGCTGCTCCAGCTGTGGCTTCCTACGCCCACGCCGCTCCAGTCTACGGATACGGCGTCAACTCCCTCGGCTACGGTGCCGGCCACTTCGGTTATGGACATGGCCTTAGCAGCTACGGTCTGAACTACGGGTACGGCCTCGGCACTTATGGCGACTACACCACCCTCCTTCGCAAGAAGAAGTGTAAGTTCTGGAATTTATATTTATTTTTCATTTTCTGATTTGGTTATAATTATTTTTAAGTGTGTTACTGCATTGATCACGAATGGAGTGTTTTTTTTTTTCTACCTTCATGCATGTTCTTTTTTTTTTCTTTTCAGAAACTATCTCTTTCTGGGCGCCTCACTTCGCAGTTGGCCATAAAAAAGCTCTAAACTGCTATTTATGCATTGTGATATATCCTCAATAAACAGTTGACCAATAAGTTATGAGTTTAGTGTTCTTCCATTTCTTCATTTGTTCCGGAACTTCGTCAATTTATATCGTGTGTATTAGTTATCAGAGCTGGCCGAGATGCACGACCCACTACTGCCACTTCGTCCTTCAGTGGGCACAGCAGCCGCGCAAGGAACGCATCAAATATGCCACTCCTGTTTTTCATTCAGGTTAGTGACCGAAACTATGGTAGATGTTACAAAAGCGATAATAGATGCTTATTCATGCTGCTGTGCCCCGAAGTGTTCTTTTCTTGTATGTCAGTATGCCCCAAAGTGTTTTGTTCTTATATGTCATTTTGTCATGGAAAGATACTGCTGATGCTCTGTGGAGACGTAGAAGTAAACCCCGGCCCCACAAAACTTGAAATAATGGTAGAACAAATTCTAGAAGGTCAAAAATGCATAACCAACGATGTAAAACAGATCAAAGATAAGCAAAATCAGTTCCAAACTTCCGTAGATGAAATGAGCGGAAGGATTGCTCGTCTTGAAAACTCACTAGTCACAATAAAAAAGAACGAAGAAGCTATCACGGTACTGCATAGCTCAGTAAACGAATTACGAAGAACGGTTACAAACCAACAAGCTGCGTTAACCAACCTTGAGGACAGAAGCCGTAAAAACAACATGATCATATTCGGAGTTCCCGAGCCCGACAACGAAACAAATGACGACGTTAGATCAAATGTACTTGAGGAACTCTTTCGTGGTCGTCTCGGTGTGACAGTACAGACGGCTGAACGAATAAATCGACTTGGAAAGAAGCGCGAGCAACGATCACGTCCGATTATAATGAAGTTCCGAGATTATAACGAAAAAATTGAGGTCTTTAAGAACTGCCATAAGTTAAAAGGTTCCAGCGTCTCCCTTCAAAACGACTTCTGCCAGGAAACATTACGTAAACGAAAACAGCTTTGGGATAGTGCGGAGACGGAGAGAGCTACTGGGCGTCGGGTCAAACTTTTTGAAGATAAACTCCAGATTGGCAGTGATTTGTATTTCTGGGATAACGAGGCCAGCTGCCAAACTAAAATAACAAAAGATAGACACGCGCCAGTTGTAAACAAGTGACGTAAGGGCACAGGAGCGGCAAAGCAGCTAAGAATAATGAACGTGAACGCGCGAAGTTTGATTAACAAGGTCGAAGCACTTGAGTATATTCTGACGCTTCACTGTCCACATCTAGTTATCGTGACCGAAACATGGTTAAACTCAAACATACAGGATGATGAAGTAGTTCCCCCTGCGTACAAAATTATACGCAAGGACAGACCAACACGAGGGGGAGGTGTCGCGATTATTATGAAGAAGTCAATTACTTGTCATATTATGAATGACTTACCACTCACAGAAAGTATTTGGTGCAAAATTGACTTTTGTGGCACGCAATACGTAATTGGAGCAGTTTATAGGCCGCCTGATTCCCCCTTGTCAATCATGGAATCAGTTTATGACTACGTTGCTGCTAATGTCGCTAATAAATCAAATTTCATTATTGGTGGTGATTTTAACCTGCCTAATATTGACTGGGATACTCTTGAGGCTGGTGCCACCGAGGTTAAACATGCTCAATTACTGCTTGACATGGTGTTTAATTTCAATATGGCGCAGGTTGTAAAAGAGTACACAAGAAGGGGGAACGCAGGCAGTTCGGTATTAGACCTGATTTTTGTTAGTAACAAGTTACGTGATTTTTCTGTGGATATTCATGATGGAATTTCAGACCACAATCTTGTTTTACTGAATTTTTATACCACTTCTTCATTAGATCCCATCAAACGTCAGGATGCACGCGTGTATGATTTTTATAATGCAGATGACGTAGGCGTACTGGATTATTTGGAAATGTCTCTGTCTGGTCTCGATGGAACGGGTGATGTAAACACAATGTGGAATTACTTTAAAAAGACTGTAAATCATTGCTTGCAGATGTACATTCCCCAGAAAATAAAGCGCATAAATAGACAAAATCCATGGATAACACGTGACATTATTCATTTAAAACGCAAAATAAAGCGGCGACGCAAGACAAAACCTGTCAGCAAAAGTGACGTTGCCGGCCTCTCAAATGAATTAAAAGAAAAAATTAAGGAATCTCGGGAAAAATATTTCGGCGTCACCTTGCCGGAGTTTATGAAGACAGCGCCACAGAAATTTTGGAAATATCTTGCGCCCTCAAAACAGAGCATAGATTGCATTGTAGAGAACGGCGTTGTCATCTCGGATCATATCGGAATGGCCCAGAGGTACAATGAATACTTCAGTTCTGTTTTTATCGATTCATGCAATTGTCCTGTGGATCTGGAGGACGACGAAGGCGTACTTGCGTCTATGCCAGACATTGATATTTCAGAGGCCGGTGTCCTTCCACTTTTGTTAAATATTAACACAAAGAAAACCGCTGGACCAGACAAGATTCCTAATGAATTTTTGAAGCGATATGCGGAATGGGTCGCCAAATACTTAACAATTATATTCAAAGCGTCACTCAGTCAACACAGCGTTCCTTCGGATTGGCTTTGTGCAAAGGTTGTTCCAGTCCACAAATCCGGTGACAAACAAAATGTAGCCAATTATCGTCCCATTTCATTGACATGCCCGAGCTGCAAACTTTTTGAACACATCATTTCTAAAAGTCTTTATGCTTTTTTCGAATCAAATAACATTTTTCACAAGAGCCAACATGGATTCCGGCGCCGTTTGTCAACAGTAACACAATTACTAGGTGCATTTGGTGACTTTTCCTGCTCTTCGAACGAGAGAGGCCAAATCGACGCGGTTTGTTTGGATTTATCGAAGGCTTTCGACCGAGTTTCACATAATGGACTGATACAAAAACTATTAAAATACGGCGTTAATAAGTCGGTAATTGCGTGGATACAGGCTTACTTGTCTGACAGAACACAGTTTGTGACTGTCAGCGGAGCAGTGTCGACCACCCGCAGGGTTACATCGGGGGTCCCACAGGGATCGGTGCTGGGTCCAGTCTTGTTTTTATGTTACATAAACGACATCGTGAATGATCTCAGCCCCAACGTTACAGCTAGGATGTTTGCGGACGACCTCTTGCTCTATGCTAGAATACGCAACCCCATGGATCAAGAAAACTTAAACACGACTATCAACACTGTTAAGAAATGGTGTGAAGAATGGGGTATGAAAATTAATCCAGATAAAACTGTATCCGCCAGAATCACTAGCAAAAAAGCGAACATCCTACCCTACACATATCGGGTTGGAAACGATCCCATAGCTCTAGTTGATCACTTTAAGTACTTAGGAGTTACGATATCAACCGACCTCACATGGAATCGCCACATCGACAATGTGTGCAGTACGGCTCGCAAAAAGTTGGGATTTTTGAAGCGAAACCTAGGCAAAACCACAAGTCAGGTGAAATTGACTGCATACACAACATTTATACGGCCCAGCTTAGAATATGCCTGCGCGGTGTGGGATCCGTACCGACACAATCGAATCGAAAAATTGGAAAAAATACAAAGACAGGCTGCTCGCTTCATCCACTCGAGATACCGCCGAATGGACTCCGTTACTAACATGCTCGAACAGCTCAGTCTCCAACCTCTTCAGACCCGCCGAGAGATAGCAAGGCTAAAGGTTATTTATATGTTTTCAAAGGACTTACTAAATATGGACACATCTGATTTTTTACAACCCCGTATTACTAGACCAGTAAGGGGGGTACACAATAGGGCTATGCAAGTTCCGCGAATTAATAATGACACATACAAGTATTCATTTTTTGTTAGAACAGTTGAAAGGTGGAACAAGCTTCCCGAAAGTGTTGTGAATTGTGACTCATTAGCATTATTCGAGAAATGTTTACTTGAATTATATTAGACTCGCCATTTCTGTTTATGAATGTGTAAAAGAAGTGTTCTTTTCTTTGTTAGATTCATTGATAGCTTGTGTAGCGTGATGTGTACCAGTGCGGTTTTGCAAATCATATGAAATATAAGATGTGTTAAGAAATGTATATAACATTGCATGAATTAAAACTGACGTTCCACTCCTGTAAAGCGCCCAGAAGGGCGCACAGTATTTACAAATAAATAAATAAATAAATAATTCCGACCTTAGTTGCATGACCCCTTCTCTGCAATAGTGCGGCCTTGATCAGCGCCCTGCTCAGGACTCGAACAAATAAATTACTGAAAAGTATAAAAAAACTCCTTGTATGTTGGAGATTCCAGCGGGACCTTTAGTCAACAGTGATAATACTTTTTTTTTGTAACGCGAAAATGATGATCATTTGATAGATCTTTGAATTAAAAGAAAGAATGCAAAGCATTTTGTTCTGATGGATATAGATGACACTTGTTTTTACATAGTACGCGTCAGCGGTAGTTTAATAACTTATCATAATTTTATATAAATTAACCCGGCCTGGTTCATATACGTTAATCGATTATATGCACTTTATTGAACTTTATGAACCTTGCATAACGTGAGGACCAAACACATAATATAAAACCACAGAAAAATATTGATTCATTACGTACACCTATAATACTTAAATCTGGAGTGTACGCTAAATGCACACTATTTGAAGACGTCCTGAACGGTTAAGCTTTATAAAAACAACACTGCTATTAAGGGTTTTCCTTGAGTGGATGGGGTCAAGAATACGGATTACAACATATCCATAAGAGTGCAAGAGAGGCAGGTCGTGCCTGCATGTAGTGGTATCCTGTTACATGTTTTTTTAAAGTGTGCTAGAAAACCTTCAGGGCTTAATAAGGCAGGAACAATGCTGCTACTGTTTACCTACGAATATGATAAATTTGTCTGAAACGTTGCGTGCCAGTGTTAAAAGAAACATTATTAGCTTTCTGACCACACAGGACGCTCAAGGACGTTGGACCTTGTCACGTTCAATGCAGGATTTAGATGAAAGCCGTGTTCAGACTGAAAAAAAAAAAAATACAGGCGTTTACAATTTAGGTTAGTAGGGTACGTTGTTGGG